AGTACTCTGAAATATCTAAACAAAGAGATATCCAAAACCAATTGTCGTGACAAAGCACATTGCCACATACATGCATAAATTACAAGTATGTAATATAATTATGTGATTGTGTGTGTTTACTATAATAACATACTGAAGTGGCATAATGATACCGTATATTATGGTTATTAAGTAACCTTTAAGTGAGATGGATGTATCCAAGGACCGTCTGTTATTTGTGATATAACGATTGTTAGTATTGTAAGTTGTGTTGATATAGATTTATGTTGCTTTACGTGTAAGGAAGTATGCGTAGGTTCTGTTTATGAATTATTTTTAAAATAAAACTAATATTGTATTATAACTTTCGTGAGACATACTAAATTAATTATTATGTTTTCGGCTTACTCACGTAATTATTTGACAAGGAAATCGACTAGTTTCAAGCCATGCTAAAGGCTCATAATCATGAGCAGCATTTCGCGACCTGCGACGCGGCGACTGTCGAGCTGCTACTGTGTGAAATGCTGCTCATGAATATGAGCCTCTAGCATGGCTTGAAACTAGTCGAGTTCCTCGTCAAATAATTTCGTGAAAACATAATAATTAAAACTAATTTTATTATCAATAACACTCTCGGTAATTGAGAAAAGGTTTTTTTCACGATATCGCTCATTCGTTTGCTTGGTCAATACCTTTAACGACCTGTGACAGTCCTCTGTTAGATAATGTCCACGATATGGGTTTGAAGCGCATTAGGTACGGTGGTGCAAATATATTGTACTCTACTGACACAACACCGATGCTTCATCAATAAATAAATAGATCCAGGATTTTTGAGGATTGCTAAAGATACTGGTCGTGAACTAACGACCTATTCGTGTTCATAATTATACATGTGGAGTGAACAATCGTCATGTAGACGGTTCCCAGAATCATTAAGTCTTAATGTATCTTTTCATACCGAAGGACCGATAGACGGTTGGCGCAGATGGAGACGTATCTAATGACTTTCTAATCTTTAGTACACCCCACTCGATGGACTGATAACTATCAAAGTATCAAAGCCTAGCTGGTGCGGTTAATTGTGGATGGAATGGAAGGCATCATCTGTTACGGACACAACGGATGAGGTGTCTGTCCACCAAAAGACCACACAAAGCTGATATTATATATTTTTTTAAGAAAACATTGCCCCACACTAGGATTATCACCTGTGTCGTGGGTGCGTTTACAAACATACAAGTTCATATACACATGATACCCAGACCCGAAACAACAATTTGTGGATCACACAAAGTGTTGTTCCGTGCGGGAATCGAACCCGTAAAAATACACCTTAACAAATATAATGAACAATTAATAGCTTAAATTGAGCTTCCGTTTCATTCATTATACTGTTTTTGTTGAAACAATACACGGACAGGCCAAAAGCAGACACTTTAGAACTTCCGAGTTGAATTATTTAAACCAGTTTTATTGGCTTATAAATACAAGTATTTAATAACTTTGGTATATTCGGTATGCACGATATTTAAATAAAAGGCTTTTCATTAACATGATAATATAATAATTGGGTTCATTTAAACTCTTTAATCAATTTGATGATGAATAGATATTCGTTCATTTGCTTTCGCGCGATATTTCATAACAGTAACAGCTCATTAATATTATCAGATTAATTTTAAATCTGTGAATATGTCTACAATAAAAAAACTAAGTTTTTATAACACAACAATTAGCAACCAGTTGTATCTAATTAAGTGATCTTTTTAAAGAACTGTAGCGTAAAATTCGCAACCGTGAAGTCGAGCCCATGAGTTAAAAAAATAAATTCCGTGAGTAAATCAATGTCGTGACCGATCCAATATTCAGGGTTCGTGAGAAAATCCGCACCTAAACATAGCTTTATAATTAAGTAGATCGATCTCTATAAAAAAATATAAGTCAAGGCTTCACAACAAACCGTTACACACGCGAATGCCTAGCATTTATCTACGTACAAAATTGATAAACAAATATTTTTTAACGATCGAATAAACCAACAGACGAATCACGATAGTTCGACATTGAATTGCATCGTGAATCCGGCACTTATTTTGTCATCACTTCACATGTGCAGTCACGATCGTGGTATCACAGCACTGCGTTTACAAATATGGCGTTTAACTCGTCGAGTACCGGTTTTATAGACACAATGAAAGAACAATAGGTCGCGGTCACCGGTGACCGCTTGGTGTTTGACAGTTTAATTTCGTCGGTGATAACTCGCGGCGCAGAAGCGGCGAGAAGGCCGCGCGTCGGAAGCTGTGAGCTAACTAAACTACTAAGCTATTGTATGCAGGTGGATTGTAGTACGTCCGTTTGCCTTATTATGGCCATTTTCCATTCACACAGTGGGGCAATCCGCTCGCTTTACTCCGATACTTGTCGCAGTGCACTGTGGCACATACGCTTCACAGTATCACAGTAGCGCTTCGCTCGTTTCGCCAATGTCTGTGCAAATCGCATGTCAAGGTGATAAGGAATTAGCATTGCGAATCGATGTTTAAACACCGTGTTATGTGTGCAATTTTGCGCTATTTCTTCAATACTTATATACCTACTTACTAAACAATTTGTTGTCACGTGTAAATTGATTTGTCTGGACATTTTATTTTTGACACGTTTAAGGAATTTATATAAGTACTGCTAATAGATACTTAAATGGACATGTCGCGGTGTTTTTTTGTTTATTGCTAAAGAAAATAAAAAACGGATAACAGTCACATATTAACAGTTCAGTGCCTTCTCTATCTAATTCTAGCAATATTCTTTTTTAAAACGACTGTAGCTATTTACAAAATGATAAAACCTTAACACATTCGTCCTAGCGATGAGGAAACATCCTCGAATGAGTAAATATAAACAGAAATATCGTAATACTTTGCATGACAATAGACACCTCACGTTTTACACGACAATACATGTTGATACTAAACCGCAAAAATATTATGTAAGAACACAATAATTTAAAATTAGTATCTGTCAATATAGGATCATCGTAAAAGGAATATAAAAACGTATCTACTGCACATAATAATGCAACATAGATACAGAGTGCATTGTTTGAGAATTGTTATTTGATTACTACCTGGCAGCGCCATCTATTAATAATGAGCTAAACTAACAGAAGGTGTTTGTTTTCATTGTTTATTTTAGTAACCATTTTGAAGTTAATGATTTTGACTTTTATACTATGCTTAATTTTAAAACGGGGTCAATAGTATTTAAAACTTTTTTCTGATTTTTTTACTCTAAGGTGGAAAATGCTCATGAAACAAACCCCTTCGCCCTAGGGGAGACCAAGGGAACCGTCAATGTCTTACAGAGAGGACTTAGTATAAGATTGTTTTACGTTTAAAATAATCGAAACTAGTATTCGTTCGGTGCTCTGATTTACGTAAAACCAACTCGTATTAATGGCTCTGGTCTCTCGCCTCAGACAGCATACCCAAGGGTGCCGTAAATATGTACATTTTTTGGTAGCCTTGCACTCCATAACGTCCATACGTTTAACTGTAAATAGGGTAGAAGCCTAATTTTTATTTTAATGTCCGTCCGGTATATTATTTTAAATCATTAGACCTGTATTTTTTATTTTCTTACAGAAACAAATACTTTCGACGATATATTGATTTGAAATGTCGCGTAACGTCACTTCTATGTACATTTTATACGTAGAAATGACGTTTTAGCCCCCAATTCTAAACTTTGATTCGTTTTATCTCAGTATTGTTTTATTATACGATAAAATAAAAAATACGTGTCTAATATTTTTTCATTACCTAACTTACGGACTAATTAGATTTTTAATTTCCCTTACGTTTAACTGTAAACAGGGTAGAAGCCTAATTTTTATTTTAATGTCCGTCCGGTATATTATTTTAAATCATTAGACCTGTATTTTTTATTTTCTTACAGAAACAAATACTTTCGACGATATATTGATTTGAAATGTCGCGTAACGTCACTTCTATGTACATTTTATACGTAGAAATGACGTTTTAGCCCCCAATTATAATCTTTGATTCGTTTTTTTTCTAAGTATTGTTTTATTATACGATAAAATAAAAAATACGTGTCTAATATTTTTTCATTACCTAACTTACGGACTAATTAGATTTTTAATTTCCATTCCCTGTCATCATCCCAATCATAGTAGTATCGGAACTAAGTAGATAACTATGTGGACACGAAGTTAACTTTAAATCAGATTTAGCTAACTAGGTAAACGATTACAACCGGAACGTCTACTATTAAGTCTTAATTACACCTTAACTAGTACTTAAGTTAAAGACCTAGTTATAAGACCTATACTAAGTATAGGTAATTAAATATTACGGAGCTGAAGACTATGTTTGTTGATCAAATCTCCGGAACTGCTGTATCGAATTGTAAACAGTTTTTATGTTGAATAGTCTATATTATGATTGCACGTAGTTCAGTATGCTAAGGCTGTTGACTACTTAAACAATGTAATCTATGCAGTGGCCTCTAAAATCGTGCCCCTAGTCAGAAAACCTGTGCAGGATTCGAACGTCGGCTTAGCGGGAGACAGAGTAGATCGAGTTGGGTAGTTTCCAGGGTATCAAAATTAAAATTAAAATATCTAATTAGTCCGTCAGTTAGATAATGAAAAAATATTACACACATATTTTTTTTATTTTCTCGTATAAAGTTGCAATACTTAGTATTATATATATAGTTTTGGAGTGAGGGGTTGTTACGTCATAACGTGCTACAAAATGTGGCACGCTGTGACGTCACACGATATTTCAAATTACTGTATCGTCGAAAGTATTTAATTGTGTGAGAAAAAAAAATACGTGTCTAAGTTGATGGACATTAAAACAAAATTTAGGAAACTAACCTATTATGGTGAAAGCGTGTATAATTAACATGATAAACTCTCTGTACCTTATTTACGCAAATAAAAAAGTTTTAAAATCTAAATTTTAATTTACTAAATTAATACATACGGTGGCTAGAGCCTCCTCATAGCTGCTGTGCAGTGGAGGTGACGCGGGCGGCGTCTCACGGTACACTGCTGCTGTCGGCATGTCAGCGCATTACTGGCCCACTGTGGACAAAAAACATGTTATAAATAAAGTTACAAATTATTCAAACAGTTTTCAAATAGTAAAGAAAGATCATAAATGTAATTTGATTACGCCCACTCTTCACTACGTTATCAATTACTTCTACTGTAATTACAAAACATGGACACAATTACAATTTTAGACTATCAATAAGAATATTTGTATTGTAACTTTCGTGAGACATAATAAATAAATTATTATGTTCTCGGCTTACTTACGTAATAATTTGACGAGGAACTCGACTAGTTTCAAGCCATGCCAGAGGCTCATACTGTCGCGCGACATTCACCGCGTCGCGGGTCGCGAAATGCTGCTCATCAATATGAACCTCTAGCATGACTTGAAACTAGTCGAGTTCCTCGTCAAATTATTACGTGAGTAAGCCGAAAACAATAATTTATCAATAGGAATGTCCAAATCACAAGTTCAATTATTTTATGTTTTACTCCAACATAAAGTTCAGTAGTCACATACTTCACACCACTTGACCAAAAAGAGGCAATGAAATTCCATTTCATCATAACCAAAACATCTACAAACGTGCCTAAATACCTATTTAATTTGTAGTCCATATTGCAAAACCACAAAAATGTTTATGTAACGTCAACAGCTCTTAAATTTTGAATGTCATTACGATTGCAAATAAAAAACTAATCTTCAAATACTGACATCCATACATGAATAGGCTATCAAATATTGAGATACAATTTTGCTCGTAATTGAATGACCCTTTAAACTTTAAAGCCGGATTTAACCATTTTATATCCATTAGTAAACAAACCTGCCTTTGAATCTCCTTAGAATTTAATGACACTTAAATTCAGTCTAGTATCGTATCAATAATTTATGTTCAACAAACAATGTTTGGCATACATTGCTGCCCTAAGTCGTAAATCTTGGCTAGCCAATGAGATAAGAATAACAATGTAACTTGCAAATTTGGTATATCTGGTAGTTGATCAAATGTTGGTGTTGGTTCACAATGGCTCTTGACCTTGAGTGGAGTGTGGCGTCGATGTGACGACTGTGTAAACACACATTACCATACACGAAGACATATAGTATACGCCGTGACTAAGCGTGTACTGACATTACCAGGGGTGGATTCTACTGTCATGTTGTTTCTTTTTTGTTTACTTTGTATTGTTTCATTTTAAAACCATTTTCTTAAAAGTTATCAGCTCGTATCAATGGGAGAAGTAAAGGTTACATTACCTACATAAACGTACCTAAAATCTTCTTGGATTGTTTTGTCATTTTTTTTGTTGAAGGGGGGAAATCTTCAAAAGGCGTCTAGCTTTTTGGGGGAAAAGACTAGAAAGTTTGTGATTTTTACTTTATCTACTAATATCTCCCCGGTGGCCACCATCTCAAAGAGGTACTGGGTTCCCTTAGTTGTATTGTATAGCCATACCAAATTCTAAAACGAGATCTAATGAAAATATTTGAACGGTTGGTTTCATTCTAGAAACTTACCTAATTAAACTAAATCAACTCCAGACTAATTACCTCAGTATTTACACACTAAGCACATTTATGAATGTATTTGTACGATTTCCATCTATTTCTAGCGTGAAGCTAATTGTTCATGATCGATTAAGGCAGTGCCGCTTCAAGGCCGGATCTGAAGGCCGCTACATAATTAATCAAACGCTTCATTGTTTCGGCGATCTTATACGATCTACTATGATCCGAACAATTTATTTGGATTTGAAGCTAAATTAATTGCTTCTACAGAGGTACAGACACCGCCAATGTAGGATGTCTGATAAAGGAGAATGGATAAATAATGTTGTGCCGACCATAAGTATGTTGGCTTAAGGGCAGGAAGAAGACAGACATAGTCAACTCGTCAACCTTCCCCAGACTGTCATCATTATTTATTGAATTTTCAACTTTGTATCCAAATAATTAGGTTTAAAATTTGCTTGTTATTTTTAAGTTCTTATTCTGTAAATATAGTAGATTACCTATCCTATAAAAAAAAATTACCAAAAAAATAGTCAAGTTAGTTTGAAGTGCGTCTGCACCTGATCTCCATCAAACTCGCGTCGCGTAGCTACTAGAAGTAATCCAGATGTTTTTGGAAGAAACCAGTCCGTAATTTTTTTTGCACCAATCATTTAAATATAGCTGTCATTCAAAGTAAAATAGAGCACACACTGCCGATTGTCTCCTGTTTCCTCTGAGAAAAATGCCCCGTCTAATTTATAGCTCAACTTTTTTGGCATAATTATTTGGCAATAATACCTAATACTCTGTGACAACTGTCAAAAAAACCTGCCAGTTGATTTTGGAGACGGACGGTCTTATGCAAATAAATGGTGTATTATAATATTTTAAATATATTATAATGAAATTCTACACGATATGGAGGGGTCATCGACTCATCGGCGATGGTATCCGTTATCCTCTTGACGTCTGAATATCGAATGATTTGACAATACGCCCCTGTTGCGAATTGATGTGAGCGATATAGACATGTGAACATCGAGACGTGAGATCGATAAAGTTATTCGAATTGAAAATAAAATTGAACACTGTATTCGATTACCAGAGCTTATAGAGTTGCGATAAAAGATTTCTGTTCTTTTGAAAATGTTCGTAGTTTAATGCGAATATCAATGGATTTATTTTTAAATGTAATGTACCTATAACTTTTGAATAAAATAAATGTCGTTTGGTTTTCAAATGTTACGACACTGATCCTGGAAATTAGTAACATTCTCATATTTTGGCAAAACGCAGTAAGAATTGCAATACACCATGGTAAAACAAGAGTCATTGTTTGAAATGTTACATTCAGAATACTGATAACCATCTATACTTATAATAAATCTGTAGAGAGGTCAATTCTGTACATAAAATATATTTAAAAAATAACTATCAAGGGATGGTTAGGGGTCGCTACTGATGCCAAAAATGCAACCAGTAAAATTTTTGTCTGTCTGTCTGTCTGTCTGTATGTTCGTTATGGAAACAAAAACTACTCGATGGATTTTAACGAAATTTGGCACAATTATTCTTCATACTCTTGGGCAGGTTATAGTATACATTTCATTACGCTACGATCAATAGGAGCAGAGCAGTGAAGGGAAATATTGGGAAAACGGGAGAAGTTACTCCATTTTTTAAGCTTCCATCGCGTGTGCAAGCTTATAGGTTAAAGCTGCATAGAAATCATGTATGACGGAAATATTCTCCTTAAAATTATATAAAAAATATTCCTCGACAGCATATGTCTATCTTTTATGGTTGACTCACAATAACACGTGAAACTCCCGATAGCTTAACAATTCGGTGATTTCTGATTGTATTTGTCTACTCTAACATTTACAATACTCATTCATGGACTTTACGCTGTAACTGAAAGGCGAATGGTTAAAATTAGCTTGACTCGATATTATAAATGAAAATATGTGAGTTTATGTGTATGTTTGTTACTCAGGCATATTAAAACGACTGAAGGGACCGGAATGAAATTCGGAACAGAGGTAGATTATGGTCTGAAGTAATACATAGGTATTTTACCCCTGGGATCGCGGGCGAAGCCGCTGGCAGAAGCTAGTTTACCAATAAATATTATAAAGACTTCACTTCGCATAACTTTGATCTTCATATCATAACACGCCTTTTATTGTTACACTGTACAGTGACATACTGTGCACCTCTGCCTACCCCTCCGGGGATAAAAGGCGTGATGTTATGTGATGTGTGATGTATTATGTATGTTTTCAACAACATGAATGTTAACTTAGTGTGACGTACACAGAAATATTAAAAAACTTCTTTACTAATATCTGTGGTGACATACCACATAAACTAACCCCTTACTTGCACTGTTAGATGTCACTTATAGGTTTGTGAGAATCAAAATGTCGTTGAATGTCACCTATATTTGCTTAGGGGATTCTTGTAATTTAGGAGAGGTAGGTGATATTAATTTCCCATATCTAATCAGTGCTATGATTTTCAAAAGTGTTTAAGGATTTCGCAATCAACTTCAAGCTGTTTTATTTATCAAAATTATTATAAATTTTTAACAAATTCATTTTGATCCTTACGGTGCTTGATGGATCGGATTAGCATTGGACAGTCATAAACCTAGATCAAGCTAAGTCTCAATTGACCTACTGAACACAGAGAATAGATGCAGTGTGCTTGCCTCACAGAAATATTATGGACATTATCTATGCCAAATCTGATAATATTGGATGCTAGGAAATGTTTAAGTCTAATTTATAATTTAGGATCAGACTTTTATGGATGTTAAAAGATGATAAAATCTGTTTTGGTTTCATTGGCTCCCTCGTTGGTTTTGGTTGCTTGTGTCAACCAAATATGTGTGTGTGTGTGTGTGTGTGTGTGAGTATTTGTGTGTGTGTGTGTGTGTATTTTTTTTATACAAATTTTGTGTGTTTTGCAACCTTAAGTGTATCGGAGATTGTGTTTCCTTATTTGTTTTTTTTATGGGGTAAGTAAGCCGGTAAACGAGCGTACGGATCACCTGATCGTAAGCTATCGGCGTCGCCCAGGGACACCTGGAGCGCCAAAGGCGTTGCAACTGTGTTACTGGCCTTTTGGGGATTCGAGGGTTGAAGAGATTGATGAGGAGAGAGGGAGGGTAATTGGGCCTCCGCTAACCCATATGACGAAATACCACGTAAGCGTAGTTTCACGTCGGTTTTCTGTGAGGCCACTGACCGTGGTATCACTCTAGTGGAGCCGGCCCATTTGTGCCCATTTTTGCAGAATGGCTCTCCACACTTAACGTGTATTGAAGATTGTGTTTCCTTATTTATCCTATTGATATATTTACTGCAATAAAGTTTACAGTGGTCTACACAGACTTAACTAGCAACTTCAGAGATAGTACAAGTACGTTTCCGATTGCCAATCATATTTATAGGAGACTAGCTTCTGCCCGCGACTTTGTACGCGCAATCCCGTTTTCTGTCGTT